ACTACATCACAAATGGCTTCGACTCATTGACTCGATGGGTGTTGTGTGGGTGGTACAAAGTGCAGAATATGGCCAGCAGTCTGATGCCTGGTATTGCACCAGGTTGTTTTGGCATTGTCTCCTTCGCACACATTATCACAAAGCCACGCACAAAGATGATGGGTGGAGAGAGAGCAGATTGCTTAGCAGAAACAGCTCTTGTTAACAAGGTTTGCCTTGGGCCATGGCAGTGCATTATGGGAGACAGAAAAGAAGCTAAAAGACGAGAATCACAGTAAGCAGATATGGTAACAGGCAGAGACATGGCAACACGGTGTGTTGAGTCCCGTGAGTGATTTAAATTAGATCTAAGACTGTTGTGAGAATAGGAAAGAGAGCAACTAAGATCATCATAACACACTGCAAAACAAATGTTTTGTGGGACATGCTTGTGCATATTTGTGTGCTGTGATGATGTAATAAATTATAAACAATTTGCACAGGTTATTTCCTTTCATCCCTCTCAACAAAGGGTGCAAAACAAATGGCAGATCTTTAGCTCAGTCTCCAGGTCATGATGGGTTTCCATGGGGGTAGTGGGCCTACGGTATGAATTGTGGCACAAAGAGCGGTTGAGAAATACACTTTTAAGGAGAAGAAAAGGTGGTTCGATGACTTTTCTTTTGATTGCTTCCATAGAAGCTGAAGCAAAATTCCAAAAGAAACTTGTCCAGAAGGAGCCCATCGTCGTTCAGGAGCATGAGAGCATCACACTCGCCACTTCAGTAACTCCTGAAACTTCTGCAGTTAAGTGGCTTAAGGATGGGGTTGAGATCAGGGGAAACAAGAAATATGAGATCAAGAGTGATGGGGCCTCCAGGACACTGATTGTGAAGGTGGCTGAGAGCAAGGACACTGCCGTCTATACCTGTGAGACCAAGAGTGACAAGCAGGAGTTCAAAGTACAGGTGAAAGGTGAGAGAAAGGAGCAGCAGGCACGTGCCAGCTTGATTCCTACCAGAACTAAACTTGTCTCCATGGGGAGTGAGGCCCAGGGGTCAAACCTGATATTTATTCTCCTCCATCATTGCTCTGCTGTCTGGGTCCCTCGTGTTGCAGCTGTCACGGCTCCCTCTAAGGTTTGGCCAAACCATTTGGCCAACATCTCTACCAGTGATTCTCAGCCACGGTGCCAAAGCACTCTGCAGTCCCTCAAGATCCTGCCAAGGATGCTGCAGGGTGTTAGATGTGCAACCATGGTTCCTAAGATAAACCCAGAGATTTCAAAGAGGAATCCATAGCATTAGGCGTTTTGCCCTGTTCCGGGATTTCTGAGTCCTTTGCAATAGTCCTCAGCTCTATTATTTTTCTGTAGTTAAAAAAACTGATAGAAGATAAGGGTTGGCATTTTTGGAGGGGTTTCTTGAGTCCAAAGAGGGTGCCTTGGGTCTAAAAAAGGTTGAGAACCAGCGGTCCGTACAGAGGAGAGCAAGGTGCTTCCTATGCCCAGTAGGCTAGTTTAGGACCCAGCCTATCTCAGCAAAGTTTTAGCCTCGTTTACACATGCCCTGAGCCGTTGTACCTTGCTCTGTTCCTGCAGCAGCATGTGCTGCCCCTTTCTCCAGGGAGCAGTTGTAAATTTTCTCTAGCCCAGAGAGGTGGAGTAGGCCTGGCCCGGGAATGGATGAATCCTTCCATCTAACTTGATTCACTGAGATATCATAATGACTTCTGGCTGAGAAGCTCTGATTACCCAGAGGAGTGGTCGCTGGGTTCAATAAACACAGAAATACATGAATGAGAAGAACTAAACAGTAAATGTTAACTGTGGAGCAGTAGGCAACTTCTGCAGACCCTTTGCCTCTTGCTAGCTAGCTAGATGCTCACTCACTGAGGGATTATCTCCCAGTGCCAATTCTCTCAGTCGCCTGTTAGGGAGCATCACTCGATTATAACCTGTATCACTACACCCAGGTAGGAAGAGAAGGATAGGGCTACAGCCAATCTCCATTTGGCTGAGGCAAGTTCCTTGTATCTCTACCATCCTCAGATATAAAATAGAGGTGACTATTTTACCCACCTTCCTGAAGTGCTTTGAAATCTCAGGATTAAAAAGTCCATTTTATTGTCACCAAGTTGGAATCGGGGCCCACTACTGACGCTCTCTTTCATTTCCACTTCCCTTTGTGCCCCAAATCCTGTTATTTAAAAGTAAAAAAGAGGTTCCCGAGGTGATTTGCTCAGCTCCTTTGTGTTCATTCTAACGAATCACAGAAATCCCTGTGAAGTTTGCAAAGAAACCGGAAGCCGTGACTGCTGAGATAGGAGGGAGCCTCTGCCTGACCTGTGAGCTGAGCCAGCCCAAGGGGAAAGTGGTATGGCGCAAGGGCGGCACGGAGGTCAAGTCCAACAAGCGCTTTCAGATCCGGGAGGACGGTGTCAAGCGGATCCTGACCATCACGGGGCTTAGGGCTGACGACGCGGGAGAGTATACCTGTGAATCCCGAGATGACAAAAGCACTGTTAAGGTCACTCTCACAGGTACAGTGCCAAAACCAAACTGGGACAAACAGCTCCCATAGGGGCACTTATGTATGGGAAGCAGCAGGGAAGCTGATCTGGGGGCAGGGATTCATCTGCACATGCAGTACAGCAATTGGGGAAGGGGTTGTGGCTCATGCTAGCTTGGCCCCACTCTATGCGGCCTCCCACCACTTAGACATCGAGCATCCCTGGCTCATGATATCGTTGCTTTTATGCAGAAGTTTGTGGCATTTGGGGCAATAAAGCATCCCATATTACAGATGATGAAGAGACAGCCCAGCCGCAGGAAGGAAACACGGCATGTGCAGGGAAATCCTGAGTATCAATGTTGCTAGAGTTAAGAGTTTCCTTCTGTGTTTCGCCGGCTTCATGTATAGAAATTGGTCAGTGAGAAATAATGTGACGAGAAGCCAGACAACTTCCTTGGATTTCTCAAGTGTATTTAACAGCCTTGCAGTCGCAGGACATTGCCAGTGCCCCTGTTCCCCTGCTTTACCTGTGTCAGGTTAGGGTGTTTTTGGTATTCTTGGGTGCTTTGTAGTTGGGCGACAGGGTTGTTTGTGGTGTTTTCGGACTAGGTTAGACAAGCACGTGCATGGGATGGTTTGGATAGTGGTGCCCCTGCCTTGAACCAAGTGACCTGCACTTAGGACAGAATAACCCCATGCACCGGTGCAGGCTGGGGGCTGACGGGCCTGGCAGCAGCTCTGCAAAAAAAGACCTGGGGGTGACAGTGGACATGAGGCTGAATATGAGCCAGCAGCGTGCCCTTGTTGTGAAGAAGGCTACTGGCATACTGGGCTGCACTGGTAGGAGTGTTGCCACCAGATGAAGGGCAATGATTCTTCCTCTCTATTCAGCACTGAGGAGGCCACATCCGGAGTCCTGTGTCCAGTTGTGGGTCTTCCACTACAGAAAAGATGTGGAAACATTGGAGAGAGTCCAGAGGGCAAAGAAAATCATTTGGGGACTGGGGGACATGACTTCTGAGGAGAAGCTGAGGGAGAAGAGAAGACAGAAGTGGGATTTAATTAGCAGCCTTTAACACTCTGCCGGGGGGCTGCAAAGAGGATGGAGCTGGACTGTTCTCAGTGGGGGCAGATGGCAGGACAAGGAGCAATGGGCTCAAGTTGCAGCAAGGGAAGATGAGGTTGGATATTAGGAAAAACTTTCTTACTGGAAGGTTAGTTAAAGACAGGAGCAGGTTACCCAAAGAGGTGGTGGACTCTTCATCCTTGGAGGTTTTTAAGACCCGGCTACACAAAGCCTGGGTTGGGATGATGTACTTGGGGCTGGTCCTGCTTTGAGCAGGGATTTGGAGTAGATGTGACCTCCTGAGGTCCCTTCCAGCCAGAGGCACTGAGGGCCCTGGTCCCCCTTGGGAAGAGGGCTGTCACCTGAAATGCATAACACTTTCCACATGGCCATCATTGCAGGCCCCACCACCCCCGGCAAAAAAAAAAAAATCAGTGCCTATGCATCCAGCCCAACTTTTCTATGATCCTTTGACCCCGTATCGCAGTTCCCAAACTGCTCAGGTTGCAATATCTCTGTCAAAGCAATATTTATTCATACCAATGATGATATTACTGATCCTTTCTACTCTTCTGAGGTGCTCATGGGCTGGGGTTATCCCACGGACGCGCTGTGAAAATCTTTCCTCCTTGTCTCTCAGTCCCCAGAGTGGTGAAGTTCACTACAGGCCTTCTCAACACAGTGTGTGAAGAAGGAAAGGAGGCCAACTTCAAATGCACCGTCTCTCCCAGTGATGCTGTGATTACATGGCACAGGAATGGGGTCAAAATTGAAGCCAGCAAGAAATATGTGATCTCTCAGAAGGACTCAAACCACAGCCTCACCATCACTGACCTGACCATGAAGGATGCTGCAGAAATCTCAGCCATAGCTGAGGGTGTGGAAACCAAAGCCATCCTCAAGGTCCGAGGTGAGAGACTGAAAGTCCCCTTTGCCCGGCTATGATTTTCCACCATGGGGTGTATTGCTTCATGCATTTCTGTTTTACTGTTGGCTGGATTAGCAATAAGTGTGAAAAATCCCATCCTTTCTGGCGTGTCTACTTGAGACACTGAGCGCACAATGGCGTGTCACAGCACAGACTGTGCTAATACACTACTGCCCAGTATTATTATATTATTTTTATAAAATAATCAGTATGTTACATTATGTTATATTATGTTACATTATGTTATATTATGTTACATTTAATAAAATAAATTCTTTTATTTACACCTGCACAGTAGCATTACCTAAAAGACATTCGCCAGCACGGCTGCACAGTGTCTCCAGGTACTGCACATTTATTTAGTGCTTGCTAATATAAGCACTAAATCAAGGTGCAGTAACGACTGTGCAGTGGCATCTCATGTAGATGCACCCTCTGGGCATTAGAGTAAAGCCCACTGTGTGATGCTGCTAGATATGCTCTTTCCCTTCTCTAGGACCTTCCTTTTTTTTGATTTCCCCAGATTCAACCCATTTAGCCCTATTTTATAGCCAGTTTTCTGGATTCTCTCATCTTCTAATCTTGTCTCTTTTCCTTTCCCAGAGGCACCGGTGCTGTTTAAGAAGAAACTGGAGACCAGAACAGTCGAAGAGCTGGACACGGTGACTCTGGAGGTGGAGCTGACCAAGCCTTCAGCAGTGAAATGGATGAGGAACAGCATCGTGCTGCAGCCGGGTGGGAACCTAGAGATCACAGCTGAGGGGACAAAGCACAGCCTGACGGTGAAGAACATCACCTTTGCAGACCGGGGCTTCTACTGCTGCGAGGTCCCTGAGGACAAGACCCAGGCCAAGCTGAATGTGGAAAGTAAGATGTGGCCGAACGGCCACCTGCTCTGTAGTTCATACCAGGTGTTGGGAGGGCAAGTCAATCCTCCTACCAATCAAGTGCCTGGATGAGCCCTATCTGTACCACAGAGAATGAATAACTGGTTATTTGCTTTATCCAGCTCCTTCCAGGATCCCCTGCTTTTCTGCCTCACTCACTGTGCTCACCATTGAGCCTGTGTTCAACTTCTCTGACATTTCCTGCTCCACTTTCACTTTGTCTTTTCCCCCAGATCATAGATTCATAGATTGTAGAGTCAGAAGGGAGCACAAGGGATCATTCTGTCCGACCCCCTGCCCCTGGCAGGAAAGAGGTCCGAGGTCAGACGACCCCAGCCAGATCATTCCATCATTCCCTACCCCTACCTCTCCTGTGTACCCTATCCCATGGAGCAATGTTTCTCCACCTTTTAAGTAGCAAGTACCCCTTAACTTCTGAAAATTTTACTAAGTACCCCAACACTCAACTTTCCAGGTTATTTTGTGTTTACAGACTAATGTGTGCTGTATGTTGGAAGAAGGGCTGTGTATATATGGCCATGACATGCCAGATGCCTGATCTGGTGTGGGTAGGGTTGCTACCTTTTACACCAGGGGTGCACAACTCAAGTATGTACCTGAGTGAGAAGTGATGTTGCCCAAAGCTAGGAGGGCTGACCCCTCCAAATTATTACTGGGGAATTTTAATGCACAGCGCACCAATTTTTTTGCCATAGTTTTAAGAGGAAAAGAGGGCAAGAGAGTGTTGGGGTACCCACATACCCCTTGCCTGTGTCTCACATACCCCCAGGGGTACACATACCATAGGGTGAGAAACTATGCCCTGGAGAACATCCCTGCAAATTCAGTTGGTGTGAATATACCATACAACAGCACCTCTTCCATTGACATGTGTTGAGCAGTCAAGTAAATGTAGTGATCTGTCTGTAACCTTTGTAGTGCATTCACCTCCTGAGCCTTCCCTTGGTCCACATGGCTGTGTTTTGTATCTGCTTCAGGGCACTGGCATGTCAACGTGGTGCAATGCAATGCCATGCATAGATATTCAAATCATCTGTATCTGAGCTAGCTTGGGAACCAGAAATATTATAGTTGCATTAATACCATGCTCCTCCAAGGCTATTATATCTTGCTTCTCAGCACAGGTCGTGAACCAATGTGGACTGCCACGTCTATATGGCTACGCTGTTTCTGGTACTCAAGGTAGCTTCTTCAGAGGTAGCTTGGATTTCTAGTTATGATCCTGAATTGTGCTGTGCAGACATTTTGAAGCATCTAGGTGATCAGGAACAGCCAACATGGATTCATCAAGAAGAAGTTATGCCTGACCAAACTCATGTCCTTCTATAATATGGTGACAGTCTCTGTGGATGGGGAAAGAGCAGTTCATTTGATATTCCTTGATTTTAACAAGGCTTGTGACACTGTCTTCCTCAGCATTCTCATTAACACGCTAAGGAAATACGGTTTAGAAAAAGTACTATACAGCAGATACAAAACTGGTTGGTTTATCGGGCTGAGTGATGTCTAGTTGGGAGGAGGTATCAAGCGGTGTTCTCCAGGGTTGTGTCCTGGGTCTGGTATTAACATCTTCATTAATGATTTTGATGATAGGATCAAATGCACACTTAGCAAATTTGCAGATGACACCAGATTGGGTACAGTTGCAGATGCTGGCTAGGATCCAGAATGACTAGGACAGACTAGAAAAATTGTCTATAATAAACCAGAAATTCAACAAGGACAAGTGTGAAGTCCTGATTTGAGATGGAATAATTGCATGCACAAATACACCCTGGAGAATAATTGTCTAGGCTACAGTACTGCAGTGAAGGACTGGGGCGGTTACAGTGGACCATAAGCTCACAGTGTGCTTTTCTGGCAAAAAAGGCCAACCTCCTCCTGGGTTGTATTAACAGGAGTGTTGCTTGCAAATCAAGGGAAGTGATTCTTCCGCTCTGTTCAACACCGATGAGACATCATTTGGAGTCCTGTGTCCAGTTTTGGGCCCCACTCTAAAAAAGACATGGACAGATTGCGACAAGTCCAAAAAAGGGTGACAAAATGGTTAGGGGCTCGGGGAGCATAGCTGATGAGGAAAAGCTGAAAGAAGTAGTGTTATTTACTGTACAGAAGAAAAGTCTGAGGGGTGGGGGGATTTCCTAGCAGTCATCAAGTACCTTCATGGTGATTATAGAGAGGATGGAGATGAGCTTTTTCTCTGTGGCTGGAGGGTACAGGATTAGGAGGCTAGGAGCAACATTCTCCATTTGCAACAGGGGAAATCTAGGGTGGAGATTAGGAGGAACTTTATGACTATGGAGATGTTCAAGGCTTCCTAGAGAACTTGTGGGATCTCCATCCCTGAAAACTTTCAAAAGCAGGTTACACAGATGTTTGGATGGGATGGTTTTCTCACCTTGAGCAGGGCGCTCGACTAGATGACCTTGTGAGGTCCCTTCCATCTCTACTTTCCTACGATCTTATCATTTGTGAGCTGTTCAGGTTTTCAATCATCTTAAAGTAGTGCAGATCCTAGTTCTAAACACATATATATAATTATTAGGGTGTCCCTTTTGATTAATGTTTTATACAACAAACCCCATCCTTAATAAAAGGATATAGCACTTATTCTAAAATACTTTCCCCTTGATCTCATTACCATACTCCTTACCTTTTGAATTCCCCCAATCCTCTAATGCAGCTTTACCCATCGCAAGTGAAATCATGGGCCTGCTGACTTCAATGCAACACTCCCATAGATTTCACCTGGGCCAGTAGTTTACCCCATGTCCTCTGCTTAGCAAGCTTGAATAGCTCTGTGCTGCTCTGTAAATGCAAGTCAGTCTTTTTCCACATCCTCTGCCTTTTCCATCCTCCCATACTTTAATCCATGTGATGAATTCTCCGGTTTATACAAGAACTTGATCATCCTACTCTAGTAGCTCGCCACGTTCAGGTTAGAGATGTAACTGGTCTAGGAAGAGCGTGCTATATGGCATTGTTTGCATGCATTCCAAAAAGCAGATTAGCACTCAGGCATCCCAAACTGATGACAAACTGCATCATGCGAAACAGGGTCTGTGTAATCTCTTTCTCATGCTGCTCATACGTTATCCTCCTCCTCCTCAAAGTCCTCCCTGCTGACAGCTGACAAGAGTTGCTGTTTGAGTATCTAGGCACAGGGTAGTTATCAGCTCTGGCGACAGCTGCTCATCTGCCCTCCGACCCCATGGAGCGGTTCTGGGAAGGAGCCACAGAATCACGGGGCTGGACCCTCGTGGGTTATCTGGTTCAAAGACAGACTGTGCCATTCCTGCCTTGGCCCAGACAAATGCCTGCAGAGCCTGTTTTATTTAAACCTCCAAGGAAGGAGTTTCCTCAGCTTCTCTGGCAGCTTGTTCCACCCTCCTATTGTCATGACAGTCAGGAGGGAGTTTTTGAGCAGACCCTGGCTGTGTTGAGGGAAACCATATGTCACTGCCAGGCTACTAGAGGCAGGGCATGTATGGTGAGCCAAACAGCTAGAGAATAAAAAATGAGCAAAGTAGATGTGGTATTTGTTGTATCTGCTAGTGAGATCTCTCTCTCTCCCTCTATCTGTGTGTATGTATGTCTCCTATCCCATGCAAAGTGCATGTCAAGAATGACAGGTGGGCGGCGGAAATGG